TCCGGATGGTTTGCCAGAACCTTTTTGAGGCTGACCGAAAGTCACTTTCCATGGCCTCACCGAACTCCTCCCACCCCCGGGTTTTTGCTTCTGCGACCGCCCGAGCCGCATGCTGTCTGGCCTGCCGATACCCGTCAGCTCCCTCTGGAGACCCTCGGGCTAATAATTCCCGGTAAGCCTCCATCTTCAGCCTGACAGCCCCCCTCACCTCTGGTGTCCACCATCAGGTATGGGGGTTACCGCCACGACTGGCACCGACCACCCTGCAGCCACAGCTCCGTATGGCCACTTCCACAATGGAGGTCTGGAACAGTGTCCATTCAGACTCAATGTCCCCAACCTCCCCCAGTATGCAGTTGGAATTCTGCCGGAGGTGTGAGTTAAAACTCCGGCGAACAGGAGCTTCTGCCAGATGTTCCCAGCAGACCCTCACTATGCGCTTGGGCCTACAAGGGCTGACCGGCTTCCTCCCCTGCCACCTGAGCCAGCTTACCACCAGGTGGTGATCAGTTGACAGCTCTACCCCTCTCTTTACCCGAGTGTCCAAGACAGAAGGCCGCAGATCAGATGATACGATTATGAAATCGATCATCGACCTGTGCATGTTCGTACCATGTCCACTTATGGACACCCTTATGCTTCAACATGGTGTTCGTTATGGACAAACCATGCATTGCACAGAAGTCCAATAACAGAACACCACTCGGGTTCAGATCAGGGAGGCCGTTCCTCCCAATCACCCCCCTCCAGGTCAGACTGTCATTGCCCACGTGAGCGTTGAAGTCCCCCAGCAAAACGATGGAATCCCCTCGTGGCGTGCTAACCAGCATACCACTAAGGGAATCCAAGAAGGCCAGGTACTCTGAACCGTCATTCAGCGCATAAGCGCAGATGACAGTCAGAGATCTATCCCTGACCCGAAGGCGCAGGGAGACAGCCCTCTTTTTCACCGGGGTAAACTCCATTGTTAATGCACCGAGCTGTGCCACCAGTAGCCCTACCCCAGCCCGGCATCGCTCACCTGCCGCAACTCCAAAAGAAAAGAGCGTCCAGCTCCTCTCCAGGAGATTGGTTCCAGAACCCACGCTATGCGTTGAGGTGAGCCCGACTATATCTAGTCCATATCTCTCAACCTCACTCACAAGCTCAGGCTCCTTCCCCACCAGAGAGGTGACATTCCATGTCCTGAAAGCCAGTTTTGTCAGCCGGGGATCGGACCACCAGGGCCTTCCTTGGCCGCCACCCGATCCACAATGCACCGTACCCCTGACATTCCCCTTGTGGGTGGTGGGCCCACCTGGGGACAGTCTCCCTGTCTCCCTGTGCCTCTTTCGGGCTATGCCTGGCCGGGCCCCACAGGTCAAGGCCCGACCACCAGATGCTTGCCAACAGCCCCTCCCCAAGGCCTGGCTCCAGGATGGGGCCCCGGTGACCCTAGTCCGGGCGAGGGAAACGAGACTTTGCTAAAACACCTTATCATAGGGTTCTTTTGGATTGCTCTTTGTTTGGCCCCTCCCCTGGGACCTCCTTGGATTGCCACCTTATCGTGGTGGAGGGATTTGCGTGCCTCAGTGACCCTGGGGGCTATGTTGTTGGGGGCAATAGCCCCTGGTAGGGTCTCCCAAGGCAACAACAATACAATAAGGGCTATTTACAATTATACACAGGGAAGCTGGGACG